ATACTTTTTCACAAAACCATTATACCCTGATTTCCCATTTTCAATGGGTTCAGCGTATAAAAATACATTAGAGTGAGAACTTTGGGTATCTATATGTTGTAGGTTCCAATATGACCACATTCAATAGACGCACAATGCTAAGTCGACTTGTTTGTTGTCCTCCTGACAAGGACAAGTATATTTTAAGGTGTTTGTTACGTTCCCTCCTGCTTAAACGTGAGCGGTTTTAATTACCTGACGATATAGTAACTGGTTGTACCGTTAAATTATTCGGACGATGTAAGTCTACATGCAATAATCGATGTCCAGGAACGGGCTGGGGTTGTGGCTGGGCTCTCTGCTGTTGGATATAATGTGGTTGTGGCTGTTGTTGAAGCTGGGAAGAGATTCCTTCGTTATATGGAACCATTTGAAGTGCTGTTGATCCCATGTGAATGCTATCATTATTTATTGTATCCGAAGAAGTAGTTTGCATTGACTTTAGCTTTTGTTGGTGCATATGTTGCTGTAGCTCATTATTTAATAGAAATGCTGTCGGCATTTGTTGTGAGCCCGAGTTCAAAGTCCCTTTTAGAATAGGACGACCTGTAAGACAAGCAAATATATATAACAGTTGCTTCAAAACTCTGCCCATATTTAATTACCGAAACACTTTGTGCCGTGCTGTTGTGCTGTTGTTGTTGTGGATATGGGTATGTTTCCAGGTGGCCATCGATTTTGCTTTTGAGACATTGGGGGCGGTAATTTTGGCGAAATTTGTGGACTGTTGGTATTCATTTGATGCTGCATGGCATAATTACCACCCAGGATCATTCGAGGTTGCAATTGATTTGGCGCTGCTGGTGTTTCACTCAACATATTATGCCCTATCCGCTGATTATCCAGTTTCGGCTGTGCTGGCGTTGTTAGTTTAAATTGCTGAACATATTGTTGTTGCTGTTGTTGATTGAATATATTACTGTTATTCAAAGTGGATGACGCCGTTGTCTCCTTATCAGCCGTCATTTTTCTTAAAACTGAAGTGGGCGTAAATGCTAAAGGTGTCGGTGAATTAGTATGCCTTGGATTTTGATGTAGGCCTTGGCTCGTTGTGTTTTGATGTGTGTAAATATCTAACCAAATAAACATGTACATATATTATACATATAGAATCTTCTCAGAAAACTTGTCTTACCATCAGGGTTCACATTCTTGTTAAAGAATTGATTATTTTTCATAAAGTTTTGGGAATTTATATCGTTTGCATACGTTAGATGTTGTTGTTGGTGGAGAGTACTACGCCCAGAATTTGTTAACTCAAAAAGTACTGCTGCAATTACTTCCCTAGATAGAGGCGTTGCATTCGGATTATTCAACTCCTTCTCTAAAATTTCAACCGAAACATCGCCCCGAGTGACACCTGAGGAAAAATCTATCAATATATTAACTACGTTTAAAGACAACTACTTTTACCTTGTAATAATTGTTGAATCTCCATTCGTTTATGCGTTTGCAATGATATATTCAGCTCATGAACATTAGGATGTAATTGATTTTGTGGCATCATCTCCATATGTCTATGCGACATAGAATCATTCTTTTTAGGACGATGTTGCTGATATAGCTGTATATCGTCTACTTTAATTTGATGATTTGGATGACTTGCATGCTGCTGCTGTTGCTGTTGATGTTGGTGGTGATGTTGCTGCTGCTGTTGTTGTTGATGTTGGTGGTGCTGCTGTTGCTGCTGCTGCTGCTGTTGTTGTTGATGTTGTTGCTGTTGTTGGTGCAGCTGTTGTTGCTGCTGCTGGAGACGAGGAACGACGCGAACTGCTGGCATATTTGAAGTTATAGGGTATGTTGATTCAGTATTATTCTGCGAGCCCAACTGTTGCAAAAGTCTTTTAAAAGCTTCCGTATCTCTGGTAACAGATTTGTCTCTCTGCTCTGTATGCACAGTTTGTTGTGGTTGATGTGCGTTCGCCTGCGATTTACTTATATCACATTCTGGGCGCAAGTCCACTTTTCTCATTTGTGCTTCTAAGTCCTTAACACTCGGGATTTCTGCAATAAGAGCATATTTTAATAATTGAAACGACAGAGATAAGAAAAACCACGTTACTTAAATCGACTAAATTTTGCTCTAAATGCAGATTCCCAAAACAAATGCATATATATTATATTTGATATTATGGTCTCGCCATCTTACTCAACAATATATATACAAATTGGATCTGCCACACTTTCTTTCACCTGTTAGATACACAAAGCCGTTAGGGTATTTAAACGCTACATCTACAATAATCTAGACAATGAATTCGATATAATGTTACATATACTGGGATATTTTTCATTTAAGCTCAAAAATTAAAAATCTTGTTTTCTTTTTAAATTTCCTCATTTTACAAAACATCAAATACCTTGCGTATCTAGCGCTGTAGTGTCTCCAATAAATACGCGCTCGTTCTTTGTTGGCTCTTTGCATGCAAACCATTGACTGAAACGCGATGTACTTTGGACATCATGCACCTCGCTGTCATTACCCTGCAAAGTAGAAAATTCCGTACTTGAACAGATATACTGATATTTGATATGATGAATACATACCATGAGAGCGTGATCCATTGGATCCATGTTAAGATAAGCATCGAAATTAAACTCAACATCAGATTTTGGGACTGAGTTAACACTGTAGTTCAATTGTTTATTATTTGTTGCAGCGTGTTGTTCCTCCGCATCGTTTTTGTTGTTATTCAAACTGGCTAGGCTACTACTTCGAGATGGGGGTTGAGTCGGCTTAACATCTGATTCTCTACAAATGTCATCTTTGATGTTCTTCAAATCTGCCGATGAGCTTTCACTTTCGTAATCTTCAAAGCCATGTAGATCAATCGTTTCATGCTGGGAGGTAGGTCCAGCACTAAACCACTCCGGTTCATGAGTTTGATACAAATTCATGCGCTTGCCACGATTTTGCATAGCCCCCGACTGACAATCACCGAAATTGAATTTATCCTTGTTGGTTGCAGTGCGACTACGTCCACTTTGAACATTTTTTTTTCCATCATTTTGATCACGATGATTATCGACAGCCTTACGACGATCTCTCTCACGGTCACGATCGCGATCTACTAAACTATCGATATGTTTGCCAGACGATGTACGCAGACGCTGATGTTGCTGCTGCTGCGGCTGATACTGGCTGGTAAGGTTTCCATTTTGAGGTCTCTCCTTATCAAGATTATTTAATAAATTATCCGCCTCCTTGTTTTTTGTATATTCCCAATTATCATTACGTGGCAATAGGCGGCCGCTGCCAATCCGTCTTTCTTGCAAATTCAAGCCGCTCGCCACTTGACGCCCAGCCAAAAATGCAGTCGGCGACATCGATTGTTCATTATGTGGTGGGTTTAAATGTTTCTCCCCACGCTCCCAATCTGGGGATGAAGCAGCCGCCGTTTTAGAGGCTCGGCTGATGGCGCGCACTTCACTGTGACTTTTCAGGTCAAGATTGCTTTGAGTAGCCGAAGCGGCTGGTGCACTACTCTCCTTTGCATTTCCATCCTCATGTTGAGATTCGGCCTGCTCAACTACAAAACGCTTTTTCGCAAACGCTGGCATTAAATGTGCTGAGGATATACTACGATGATCTATATTAGGTGATTTATATGTGGAGGAGCCACACAGATTGACACTGGCTGAGCCTAAGCTGCTCTGCTGCTGCAATTCTTCTCCAGCAATTTGATCGCCGGATGAAAAGCGCTGATAATAATTGTGGGCTCGTTCGCGATTTCGTAAAGCTCGCCTCGAACTCAAGAGTCCATTTGAACTCGTTAGACTTGAACTTTCCCTTTCGGGTGACAATCCGCTTTTATTTCCACAACTGTTGCTGCTCACACTCAGTGGAGCCCCATTACTTTTCCAAAAATTTAACGTCTGCAGATCAGCTCGATTTGCACAATTTGGTCGTTGACGTGCACTTCCTTCGAAGCGCAAAGCAAGTAAATCAGATCGTGAGTACCTGAACAAACAAAAAAAAATAAACCATGTAGATGTGTTGCGTTTCCTTATCATTCATTTTTCGATCGGTACATCAATATTTACAGGAAGTATGAAAATAGGTAATTGTCTCGGGACCGTTTTTTGGACTTTTTATTATGTATTATCTATGAAGTATGAAATATATTTTGTTTTCAAATATTTTATCTTCATGAATATTTCAAAAGTGCAAATCCATTACATATTTTCTGACTTTCAAATCTACATTTATACACATACATATATAATCATTTACGTATAACTTACCTAGATTGTTCGTTAGTAATGTCCATTTTGTAGCTTCGTGGTCTTAGGCCCCAATTTTTGTTTTTCTTCTGCACTCTTATAAACAAATCTTAAAATAAGTATGTATGCTGATGCACACATTTATATTCCGTAAAAAAAAGTTAGCATATAAACTCTTATACACATTCATACATATACACGCATTATATATTAACATATATATATATATATATATATATATATATATATATATATATATATATATATATATATATATATTATATATGGTATGGAATATATACCAATATAATAATTAAAATGGCTATGCTGGAAAGGCATTCTTAAAGCCATTTCATTGTGCAAACTAATGTAAATTTACATAGCGTACATTCATTCAAATATATATACATACTTTTTGGTATATACTTACACACAGATTTGTCGGAAATGTGAATCTGCACTTTCTTTTGTGTACATTTAGTGTGCTCACATTTTTTTTCGTTTATTTCTTAAAGTACAAAATGTTTCCGCGACATTCTTTACGTTTATATGATTTTATTCGTGAAATTATCTCCTTTCACAGTTTTTGCTTACTGTTGAACTAGTTCAATAAAATAGTTCATTCACTACGGTTGCAAAAACGATTAGACCGATATATTTAACAGTCATCCGATATTTATATATATATCAGCTTTTGTATGTCGCACTCCTTGATTGTAGTACTAACAAGAGAACAGTGTTCTTTGGTCAGTGTTGTAGCTTAATAAAATATTATTTAATGTTTTTGAATACAGTTTTTAATTAGTCGAATCACCGACTGGCAATGACCATGACACAATGTTAGATTATTATTATTATGACTGCATGCCTCTCGATTAAAAGTAATTCGATTCCCCCCAAGAAATTTCAGAAATAAATGTCAAATGCTGATAAATGTTTTTTTTTTTCTGCACAGAGAGCAATATTTCATATATCAAAATCCACTTTTTTTTATCTTTTATTCCAAAGCAAAATTGAAGGTAAAACAACATAAATCGGAAAATTTATTTTCTGATATGCCACTAAGGGCGTGGTAAGTCGTATCGGAAGGTATAGTGATTTTTCAATCTCTGCTTTATTTTAGCACTATTAATGCTAGAACCCTGAAATATTTTATATATACTCGGGTTGGCCACCCAGGACCGAAACGCTATGGCGGATATATCTGCGGCCATAGGGGGCTTGGCAAACAGCAAAAGTTTATATGTCCTACAGTTTTAGAGCGAGAAGCTTCAAATTTGGATAATTGAGTTAATGGCATCCTCCTCTATTAATCCTCCTCTATCCACTAGAGGCGTGGCGAATCGGAACTTGTAGCGCCCAACTAAGAAATTTATATGCGTGGAATACTTTAATGTATAATAATGCAGAATAGTAATTAAAATGAATAATATGAATAATAATGTAGAATAGTAATTAAGACGCCATATAACAAACAAATGCCAGAGTAGCGGCTGGAAATTGAAAAACAATGTAAAGACAAATCAATCGCCATTGAAATTCTTAGAATATGACAGTAGACTCTCGATAATCTCATAATCTTCATAATCTCTTTATAATTCGAATTATGTCCCCCTGAAACTACCTTACTGAATCTGCTTGCTTTATCTTCCACGTAAGTAATACCGAGGTCTCTGTGTAGGACAGACGTATGGTGGAGCATCCACAGAACGGCGCAGGAACATGTTTTGAAACAGTTGAAGTATTTCAATATTAGAATGGGAGGCCGTTCCCCATAATTAAATGCCATATGTCCAGACGGGCTTCAAGATGATTTTGTACAGCATGAGCTTGTTCTTATCGCTGAGCTGCCACTTACGACCAAGTAGCCTGTGCATTTTGCTGCGTGGGTCCCAAGTACTTGACCGTATCTGCCTTCGGAAGCATTGTGCCGTTTAGATTTACTGTTAGTTCATTCGTCGGGTGTCAAAGCTAATGTGTTTGCATTTTTCGGTGTTTACTGCGATGTTCCATTTCCTTAGCCACGGCTCTATAAGTGACAGCTGTAGTTGCAGCAAATCGGCAATGCGAAAAGGCAATGCAGGATGTGTCATCTGCGTAGGTGGCGAGGAGCATGTCATTATCCAGTTGTGGGAGATCCGCGGTAAATAGTGTGTAGAGAATTGGGCCCAATACGCTGCCCTGCGGGTCTCCAATATCAGAGCAAGAATTGTCATGCTTTACGTATAAGCCCCGATTTCTCAGATACCACCCCAGAAGGCGGTATATCGGTGCGGGGAGCCTCAATTTAAGTTTATAAAGAAGGCCTAAATGCCACATGCCATCCAAAACCTGTTTTAAATCAAGGAAGACAGCAGAGCAATAATGCTAGTTTTCGAAGGCGAGTAGAATTTTTTCTACTATCCTGTGGAGTTACATGATGAGCTCTAAAGCCGAATTGATGCTCGGGAACGAGGAAGTATTCTCTCGAATACCTTGGAGAGTGTGGCCAGGAGGCTGATGGGACGGTAGGAGGCCGTATCATGTTCGGGCTTGCCTGGCTTGGGTATCAATATTATTTCGGCACACTTCCACTGGGAGGGGAAGTGACAAAGCAATAAGATACCGTTAAAGATGTCGGCAATATGTTCGATTGCCCTTGGCGGCAGGCACTTGATAGTTACTGTATCAATAACGTCATAGCCTGGGTTCTTGCACCGTTAGAGCTGTCCAATTTTGGCCTGGACTTCTGCGGTAACCACCCGAGGAGGGATGCCCTCCAGATGGCGCATGAATTCGCTGGCTTGACGATTGCTGTATAGAAGAAATTCATTGAAAAAGTAGAAGGGGGTGAGAAGAAAAGCGAAGTTGCAAAAGAAATTTTATCTGCGACAGATACGAATGAAAAGAGCAACGATGAAGATGAAGACGATACATCAGAACCTATGGCAGAGGTGTCAGTTAAGGTAGCGAGAGCCTCATTGGATAAATGATTGAAAAGTCTGAGCAGCACCAATGGCTTCGAAACAAAACCGTATAATTGTGTTCTTTACAAAGAATACTTTGAACATACATTCCAAATATGTCAGCAGGTAATTAAAAACCCTTGATAATTCCAAGTTTAATTTATATTCCCTCAAAAATTTCGAACCATTTAATATTTAAACATGTAAGAAGGCTCCTGTCGAGTCTGCTCGACTAGGAGATACCCTGAACCCTCCAAGCTGATATTCTAATCATTCTGCACTTCTTCTATGCACATATACATACACATGCACTTATAAGCTGCTCCGTTAGCAGCGACAGCGATTGGGCTGCAGTGAAATGTGGGCAATATTATGAGAATTTATTTGTTGAATAATTTCTTTTGTAGACATACGATCTTAATGAAACTTTTAGAGCGTAATCATATGGTTAAAATGTGTGTACATTCCAAAGCACAAGTCTCTAGTACTTGAAATGGTACTTGATAAATTGGGGGCGAATGGGGCGTGGAATCCAAAATCTGCAAATAACAAAATCTTTGTATCCAATTAATTTATATACAACGCAAATTTGAAGTCTCCAGGTCTAAAAGTGTTCAAATTAGGCTGAAAAAACAATGTCGATTTTTCGATTATTCTCGATAAAAAAGTTATCGGATGATTTATCGATAAAATATGATAAACTTGTACTGCCTCTGGTATACACGAGTATGCATGCCAAATTTCAGCTCTCTAGCTCTTATATCTTCTGAGATCCTTTTGCTCATACGGACGGACAGACACACAGGGCTATATCGACTCAGCTCGTCGTGCTGATCAAGAATATATATACTTTATGGGGTCTGAGATGATGCCTTCTGCCTGTTACATACTTTTCATAAAACCATTATAACCTGATTTCCCATTTTCAATGGGTTCAGGGTATAAAAATGCGATAATTCGAGTCTCTCGAATTTCGAAATAACGAGAGGCGACTGTACATACATACATATCTACGTACACACATACAAATTAGCGCGTGTATAAGAAAGGCTGGAATGCTTGAAATTACATATGTGTCCAGACTTATGTACATAGATATGTATTTATATAGTCATACATATTCGTCATACTCCAACAAATCTGAGTATTTCGTATGCATATATAAGAGAGATAGGTTAAGCCGCTGTGGAGCTTAAAGCTCGCAAGCGAAGTTACGGCCACTTAAAGCTTTTACAAGAAACTGCATAATCAGGCCACTGAAGGCTTTACTTTATAAGTGTAACTGATGGATCAGGCCACCTAGATCTTTGTAACGGCAATGTCATCCGATGCTGGAGCTTTATAGCTGCCAACGCCGACGCATTGCATAGTGAGCTTAGAATTTGTGTTTAGCTGTAAATCAGCATCACAAGGAGAAACTTATTCTACTCCAATGTCATTAAAATAAAGTTATCTTTCTATTTAACCAACCGCGTTGTTTAAACATGTAATTATATACATATGTATTAGCATTGGTTATTTGAGAAGAAACAAGTTTAAACTTATAAAAATGCTCGAAAAGAAAAAATAAGAAAATATATTAGGGCTGTTGAATATTTTGAAAATATCGTTTCGATTATATTTTAAGTTTTGAAATAATATCAATCTGCTATTTTATATGCAACTTTAAAAATATCGATATATCAATTTTGTTGATTTTTGTTTGTATTTTTTCCCCACAATATGTTTATAATCCGTCTCAAAAAACAAGTAAGAAAGCTCTAGTCGAGACTGCCCGACTGCGAGATCCCCTGAAACCTTTGAGCAACTGATATTTCAATAATTAATCGCACATGGACACACAAACGCACACACACAGACATACGCACGACCGCACGCATAAACACGCATTGGCTGCATGTGAGCTTACTATGGAATTTTAATTGTTTGATAACTTTTCTTGTGGGTGAACTATCTTCATGATTATGATTACAACATGGATATGCATGCATTTGCCAAAGCACAAGCCTCGAGTATTTGAAATCGCCAATCGACGCGAGGTCTGCCTCGCCTCCTTCTGCCTGTTACATACATTTCAACAAAACCATTATACCCTGGTTTCCCATTTTCAATGGGTTCAGGGTATAATATAAAATATATTAAGTGGCGCTTTCGCAATGAAATATACAGTTTATTAAACGAAATTTGTATGAAAAACATATAACACTGGAGAGGTTTTGAACCCTCGCTACTCCAACATACCCTGCGTTGCCTTTACCATCCACGTCACTGCTTTGTTTGCTTAGTGCTACAGCTTCATCTCACAAAACTAAAGTAACGGCTGAAAAATCTGCAAATCAATCAGTCAAAATCCACAATATGCTAGAGAGCGCGCTATAGCACAGAATAAACGATGGATGTGTGCACATGATTAGCTGAATCGCGCTGATCCTCTGCTAGCTGGCGCCGGTATCCGAAATATAGCAAAAACCAAAATTGCATAAATTATACATGTAATTTGGAGATCCTAGCTGCAAAGATGTAGTAGACATAAAAGGGATTAGATATCGATGATTTACAAATTTTAATGGGATCAGGTTTATTGCTGCGCACTAGAAACCTGAAAATTGCACTATACACTCGGGTTGACAGCGTTTGAGGTGTGAATGACTATTCTGCAATTGGTAACGCCCGGCTGCAATGTCCTTACTTGCTTACATTTTGGTTTAATGGATAGACAGTCCCATGATTCTTATTCACAGGGAACGCCTTTTTCTAAAGTACAAAAAGTTACCTCTAGCCGGAAAGAAATCAAAATTTGCATGCACACTCGTGTATACCATACGTAGTATGTGTACATCCTAGTCGAGCAGTCTCGACTAGAGCACTTTTACCTGTTTTATTATTAGATAATTTGCACAAAATTTAAATTAAATTACATTACATTTTTCTAACGCTTTCTTACCTGCTGAAATTAGAGCAACCAATAATAGCAATTTCTATTCAATCGTTTGTGAATTTGGTGGTGGATGATTGTAATATGCTATTATTTTCAATTGAAAAACAATCCTTAGTTTTATTTGGATCTAATGTTTATTGGACCTTAACATGTTCAATCGGGATATATATATGGGTGTATGTATATATATACTTAAAACGGATTTTTAATATTTAAATAAGGTTATTTAAATAAGGTTTTTTAATAGCATTTTTATTCGATGCCATTTTCAATTGATCGCGCTGTAGAATCACAACAATATAATGTTCTATGCGTATTAAAGGGGCTCGGTGGTCTTTGGTGTTGGTTTTGACTTTGGCGATTTCGAAATGAGCTCAAATGGGATCTAAAAAATACTGGGAACGTAACTCGCTGTGGAACGTTATGCAGGCTAGATTGTCCACAAAATATCTTATCGTTATCAATTTTCGACAAATTCTTTTTGAAAAATTGACGTTGTTGGCTCATTGAGTACTTGCGGCGCGACAATCTCTTCAGTCCATTAAACCCACTTGAATTC